GGTTTTCTGAAGTGCTATAATGGCATCACTCTGTCTGCGTACTCCATTCGGAACGGGTATCTTTGTCGTCGTTCCGTCGGTCTTTGTCAGCCGCTGTTGTAGTGCTGCGCCTCGGGTCAGCAGGTTGTGATCGCCGACTTTTCGCAGTCTGCCTCAGTCCCCCAGGAACCTTCACGGTCCTTGGTAACTGGGGCGACGACCGAATCGGTATAATTTTCAATGATGTCAGTGATATGGTTGGGGGTGGGGGGCAAGTGGCTAAATTTTACGGAGACTTTGCCACGCTCTCCAGCCCTCCTCCTTTCTTATCCGAGCTTGTATCCGGCGACGCCGGAGTTTGGGGTAGTCCGAATATGATATATGTACTCGTAAGCGGCGGTGTCTGTTAAGGGTTGTGATGAAGGTTTCAACGGCCGGCTAATGAGTTTCACAATACTGCTTGTGCGATTTGTAGTAGTTTTTTAAAGAAAACGACACTGTCTATAAATTTGGTCAGATGGATTAAAGGTCGTCAGTTTGGATGACCGCTTGATCCTTTTGGGTCGTGGACGCATACACATGAGACATGTTTCCAACGTTTCCGATCCTGTGCCAGACCTTGAACTTCGACAGAGGACAACTGGAGTCCCTTCCATATGTTTGCACCAGGTTAATCTTGGCCGTCCGCTGGGCCTTCTACCGCTCGTTTGGGCAAAAACAGTTTCTCAGCCTTCCTTTCTCTAGGCATTCGCAAAACATGCCCAAACCATCGCAGCTGTGACTTCTCAGTCTGAAGTAACAATGGTTGTACACCAAGGCTCTCGCAAGTATCTGTATTGCGGACCAAATCGAGACGCGTGAGGCCAGCGACTCGTCTCAGAAAGCCTATATCAGCTGCTTGTACCCTGAAGCGAAGTTTTTCTTTCATGACTTTCTGACTTCAGTGATTTTCATCGTATTTTTGTCGATCTTGGCATCCTTCGCTCGTGCTGCTACGACGTCAGCTGCGATAACATCAGAACCAGTTTCTCAACGCGGAAATTTCGCAATCTGCCTCAGTTCTCCAACTGCCTGCACCGCCTTTGGTAACCCAGAGGATACTCAAGCTTGTATAACTTTCGATAACTGCAATACCACGAGATTCAGATGACTATCTTTTACGGGAGAACTCGCCATGGTCCGAAATTCTCCTCCATTTTCTTCTTAGCTTGGAGTCTGAAAGGGCGGAGTTGCTTTAAGGGTCACTATTTATGCCAAAGAAAAGTAGAAAATTGTCATTGCTTCACGCAGCAGGAAGTGAGATTCTTTTGATCACTATATGCATAATAATATATAGATTTCTGCGTATAGCTAACCGCTTATGTTGACGGTTTATAGTATTATTGCATGTGTCTCAAATAAACATTTATCCGATAATGAATAACTTTTATATCACCCATCTCCTAGTTTTTTAGACTGACTGAGTCCGGCTTGAGTATGGTTAACTGGCGATTGATTCGTGGCATGAGACCTCCGCTGAATAATGAAGAATGGCGCAGAGAATTCGAAAAGTACAAACAATATCCAGAGTATAAATAGTACGGGATGTGACTTTACTCAAACGTAACGTAATGTAGCTTTGTTTATGCAGTAAAACGGTTGATCGCGAAATGACCATGAACGAATTTAAATTTATTTGGATAATGGAATATTCGCATCGAATGGTCGCTCGTATTACGGGGTTGTTCTATCTGTTGCCGGCCACGGTGTTCTGGGTGAAAGGGTACTTTTCTAAACGAATGAAGCTGCCGGTTGTGCTTGGTGGTTCATTGCTTATATTCCAGGTGAGGGTTAAGAGATGCCGCATCCGGCCCTTTCTGCCGTAGCCTGATGCAACAGTGTATTTTAGGGCCTGCTTGGTTGGTACATGGTCAAGTCAGGGTTAGACCCGACGGGGAATTCCAACGCTGCCGTCCCACGTGTCAGTCAGTACAGATTGGCGGCGCATCTGACTTCGGCTTTCGCCTTGTATGGCCTGTTGTTCTGGTGTGGCTTGAGTCATCTGTTTCCTGCCGTAAGTGCAGTCATAATATAAACAGTTATATCATGTAAACTTTAAGATTTGTTGTAGGGAGGGCTTACAGGCCCAGGAGTATCGCGTCTGCGCATTCTTGCCGGATCGACCTTAGTTCTAACCTCGCTAACGGCCGTCGTTGGTGCGTTCGTTGCCGGACTCGATGCTGGCCTCGTATATAACTCGTGGCCAAAGTTTAGCGACCGTTGGGTCCCAACCGATTTATGGGCGTTGGATCCACGATGGAAAAACATTTTCGACAATCCGACGAATGTTCAGTTTTTTCATAGGAATTTGGTAATCTTGTTTGCTCTGTCAGTGTGGATGCAATGAACTGTTGTCTTTTCAGGCATATGCCACCGTGCTTGTTGCATTGGCCACTTTCGCCGTCGGTCGAAAATTGCCTCTTTCGCGTAGAACCCGTGTCGTATTGGACAACGTGCTTTACGTCAGCTGTTTTCAAGTAGCGCTGGGCGTCGCTGCTCTCGTGTACTACGTTCCAGCTTGGCTCGGATCGTTGCATCAGATTAATTTCATGTTTCTTCTGTCATTCGCCACGATGCTTTTGCACGAAGTCAAGCGTTTACCTGTCAAATGATCGTTCAACAATCAGAGTATTGTTTGCCTTTTTCTACACACATGGTGATATAGTTAATATGATCTTGTGAACGTTTTCGTGCATTCGAAACCTGCAACTTCAACACTGCTTTTAGTGTGCTTCAAACAAGTAAAAGTTCCCAGTTTCTCGGTATGTGAACTGAAACAAATGATTCAGTTTGGTCCGGTCCGGTTCGGTTTTTTGTTGAGCGAATTTGAACTGCCACCAATGACGGCTTGTGAAGTTTTGTCGTTTGACATAGGCTGAAGCGGTGTTTTGATTTGTAAAATTGATAAGATTTCCATCAGTATGTCAGCTACTGCCTTGATTTGTGCGTTCACGTTGTCACACCATGGAGTCGTAAAAAAGGAAATCTTCGTAATTCACTATTCATCAAAGCATCGCATTTTACTCAGGCAGGCCTTTTCGTTGAAACAGTCGAGGCAGGCGGACATCTGCCAATAGTACACGCTCGAATCACGGCTACAACCATCTGAACCAAATCCAAATCCACTACGCCAAAGTGTTCCATTCCGCATCGAGTGCTTTCATCGGTTGAGGATAGAGAAACAATTCGCACCCTTAGGAACACAGTGACAGAGTCGCGAAGAGATCGGCTTCGAACTCCGGAGGTGCCAAGTTAAAATACATGAAATGGACAATCTTTGTCCTATCCACGAATTGTCTTGAGCAAGAAATTTATTCCATGCTGCTTCAGTGCGATCAGCCGAGAAACTTGTAGCAGGTTGTTGATTTACGAATCGGTACGGACAGAATAGTATTCTGGTGTAGAATATGATGATGGGCGAAGGGAACGTCAGTGCTATATAACGCAAGAGCCCCTTTTAGTTCCACGTTGTGTTGACCCGCCTGATTGTTTCCTATCCAGTGTAATAATCAGCACAAAGTGTAACCAGAAAAGTAAATGAACTGTGGATTAGAGTTGTAGTGTTAAAATAAACAGACAGTATGACGAATAAGCGGTACTAGAGACTACGATAATTGACCCTGACAAGTTTTGTTAAAAATGTGGCGAATGATCTGTAGCCATTTAATAGCTATGCTGTAAAACTGGAACTGTAACTGAACACATACCTTTCATAGACGAGGATATGGAATGGGACGATTCGGTGCGGCCCATCTATAGTTATCAACGCGCAACAGATTGGATTAAATTGTTATATTCTACATGATTGGATTGTGGTCATCTCGATCAACTGTAATATCCAACCCAGCAAGTTATATATCTATGAGAAGCTCTCCGTGATCACCGTGTGAAACTTCTCTCAAGCTAATGAATTTCTATGACTTTGTTTTATTTTATGGCTCGATTTTTCTACCTGCGAGAACTGGATAATTACAGTGTCCAGTAAAGTTGAAGAAGTATCGGCATGCGGACGAAAAGACAATGTCCATTGTAAATGACTTTCATAGCAGTGATATTATTACTTACCTTTATGGCTTAGCGCATAACTACGAAATGGCGCAATGACGTATATTGCATATAAAAGTCTTCATCTTCCATCGCCGCTTCTCCTTTCGGGTCGCGGAGGCAGACGCGCCAGACAGTGCTTCCAACG